ACCTCACGCTGCGTCAGGAACCCTCGCAGCCTGTGCTGCCCCAGCCAGAACCCACCGTGGCAGGCCAGGGATGCAAGCTCTCTGCCCAGCTCCTCACCCCTTAAACCAGTTTGCAAGCTGAAGGCTCCCACAGTGGTGCTGGGCACTCTCCTGTGCAAAGCGTGGGGCTGGACCTGCCAGCTGCTGCTGCCACCCTCCATCCCATGGCCTCTGGGCAACGCGTGGACCATGCAGGCAGGAGCCGAGACTGCAGCATGCTGAGGTCCCCACACCTCCCGATGGGGCAGGATCCTTGCCAGCGAGCGTGGGAGGATGTCCCTTACCTGCAGATGCCAGGCTCCCTGGTCAGGGTACCAGGTTATGCCGCCCACTGTCCCCAGGGCTGGCAGGGTCCCCGCTGGAGCACGAGTGAGCTGGCACAGTGACGGCACGGCTCCTTGGCCGAGGAGCTGCGGGTCCAGGATGCTCCGCAGGCTCCCTCCTGGCACAGTGCACACACCTGGCAGCAGCAGCTCGCCCTGACGGTTGGGAAAGCTTGATTGCAAAAGTAGGAGAGAGACTAATTAGCTGCTCGGCAAATGCTACACACCCACCACTTCCAGCACGAGTCTGCGCAAGGCCAAGCTTCCCATCCAGCTGCCAGTGGGACCGACCGCAGCCCGCAGACTCCCTGACCCCAGCCCGCTCCCGCACCGGCCTTGGCCCCAGGGCAGGGGGCAGCTCCCTGCACACCCAAACCCAAATGCCCATTCTGCCCAGCAGTGCTGCCAGCAGCGGGTTCAAGCAAGCCGCTCTTTCTCCCAGAGCCGCTATCCCCGGACACGAAATGCATCAGGCATGCACAGCTCCATGAGCAGCCTCAGCGCCTGCCTACAAGCATAGCACTTTCCCCAGAACAAGGCTCAGGGGTTGTAAGACCCCCTCTCCCCACCCAGCCCTGCCTTGTGCACCATCAGCAAGCACATCCAACCCAGGGCAGCTGCTCTGCAAAGGGGCCGGGGGCTGCGAGAGAAGGACATGGCCATCCCTGAGCTCACTCCGCATTCCTCCACTTGTGGACCCTGGCACTGAGCCCAGCACATCCGTGTGGATAGCAGGCCCCTGCAAACCTCCATAAACAGCCCAGCAGCATTCCAGTGGTGTAGGAACTGACAGCCAGCACTGTCACAGCGCTGCTGTACCACAGCAGGAGCAAAAGCCATGGATAAAGAGGGAGGTTGGTCTCAGAGGGCAGGTAAGGGAGTCTGGAGGGGCCACGCTCAACCCTCCACCCTGCCCAGCTTGCTGGGGCGCCTGCCATTACGATCGCTGGGCAGGGGGTGGGCAGCCCACTCCCACCAGCGAACAATGACCCCATACGGCCTGCCCAGGGCACCCACCACCCCTGCACAGCCAGACACCCCAACCTGCACCCACCAGCCTGCACGGCGGCCCCAGAGGCAACTGCCACAGGCACCCGCTCGCTCTCCTTTGACCTTCACCCCGGTGCTGCGCGGGGACACACAGACCGAGTGACCCAAGGGACGTGATGGCCCGGTAACCTCAAGTGTAAACTCTCCTCCTTTCCTCCTCCACCTACTAAAACTTCTTTTTAAAAACAATCCGGTGCAACGCGGAAGAGACGGACAAAGAGCGGGATAGCTGTGGTTCCTCTTATCATCGGGAGAGGAGCAGGAAAAATCCTGCTCTGTCAGTCAGCTCACTCCTGATAAGCTATTTTGTGACAGCAGCTCCGCAGGTGAGTCACCCTCCAGTGGCAGATGCTCAGGAGATTAGCGCAGGTGATGGTGCTGCTGATAGACCGGTGTTATATTACAATACAGATCATAATTCCTGTTTCACAACCCCTGCTGTGGGTTTTAAGGAGTGCTTGGGCGGTCCTGCCCCAGTGTTAGTACACCACGGGCAGAGCAGCGCAGGCACGGGGCGGTGGGAGCATCGCCGGATCCAGCTCCCTGGGCATCGGGACACCCACGGCCTCCCTGTGTCCCGGACTGGAGGATACGTGCTGGGTTTCTTCGGGTGGAAAACTACGTCAGAGCTGGATGAACATGGTGAGTTGCTGATGGTTTCGCCCACCGCTCTGCCCCCTCCCCGCACGCCAGCCCCGGGAGCGGGCAGCCTGCACCCCGCACACCCCACGGCCCGCTGCACTCGCAGCCCGGCTCTGCCAGGGGTGGTTCATTCAACAGAGCTGCTGCTCCCTGCCCCTGGTCCCCTGCACCATCCAGCCAGGGAATGATTCTACCCATCCCTCAACCCCCGCCGTGGCTGTCGGATACGTGTCTTGGCTACCCCCCGAGCCTCGCTCCCACACTTCTCTGTGGCTCGCCTTGGCACTCTCCCAGACTGGGAAGCAGACAAGTGAGGCAGCCTGTCTTGCAAATCTGCTTGCCAAAAGGAATATGCCCTTCTGGAGCGTCTTACTCCCCCCACCCTGAGAAGGGGCTGGTTCTTAGACAACGCCTGGGTGAGAGCCAGGCACCCCTGCTCCCCAGCACAGCCCCCACCGTGGGACTGCCGGTCCCTCTGCTCAGCACAAGGGACATGCTCCACTCTGCTGCTCGCAATGCCTTTTGCAAGCAAAGCCAGGGCCACCAAACCCCAGCCTGGCACGCAGTCCCTCCCTGGGAGGAAAAGGCTTCCTTAACAGAGGGCAGCCATGCACGCCCGGCTCGCTGGGCACCGTAAAACCCTCCACCACCAACACACCAGGACACGAGAGCAGCACAACGTCCGTCAGTGGCGCGCTGCAAGGCCAACGGCGAGGGTCTGGCTGCACCCCGGCTGCCCCAGCCTGCTCAGGTGGCACGGGTGCCACGGTTCCTCGGGGGTCCACAGCCCGGGGGCTGGCATTGGCGCAGCTGGAGCACAGGCTGGCTGTAGCAGCGTTAACATGCTTCCAGAGAATACGGCAAGGGAGCTCAATTAGTTACGGTAGCCTTGAGTTCTCCAGAAAATCACGTGCTTCCACTCCATGCAGGAGCTCTTGTCTTGCTTTGAATTTAACCAGCACAGCCCTTGCTTGTAGCGTGGCTTGGAGAGCAAGAGGGCAGTCAGGGAGAGGCATCCCCAGGCTGTGAACTGGTTTGAAATGGAGGTTCATGGACTGAAGAAAACACAATAAACCCCCCAAAAACCCAACAATGGGGAACACCATCTGTAGGTAGCCAGCACCACAGCATCATGCATCCCACCCGTGCCCGCACCAGGCTGCACAGGGCTGTCGGAAAGGACCCCAATGCCAGACAAGGCGATGGGCAGAGGGGCAGCCCGAGGGCTGGCAGGGGCAGCTGTGCCACTGAGGTGCCTGCCCTGCAACCGTTCCTGCAGGGAACCGTTAGGATCCCATTATCAGACTCATGGCCGGCCCAGGCCCACGGTGACACAAGAGGTCAGCATGAGGAGGGACCGGCCCCACGTGCCCTCGGCTGGCTGCGCTGGAGGATGTAGGTGGTGTTTGTGAGCAAGCCAGGGTGGCATTACAAAACCCCAGGGCTCCTGCAGGCACCGGGCACTGCAGTTAAGTGTTTCAGGGAGAGCAGCTGAGATGGGAGCTTCAGGAGACAGGCTTCCCCTTCCACCCTGCCCTCCCACTTCCAGCAGCTCTCTGCCACCAGAAGCTGGGCTCAATGTCCCTGGGTCCTGATCCAGAGCTGGGACGTCCTGGTAGCACAGCAGTGTCCTAACAAAGACCTGAGAGGGTGTGCAGAGCTCATCCAGGGACCAGGTGCTTGCCACGACTTGCCCACACTTGGCATCGGTGCCAGACAAGCCCGGCTGTTCGGAGAAAGGCCCCTGGCATTTCCTCAAAAGAGCCAGATGGCTAAACATGCCCAAAGTGACCCAAAGAGGGAGGGCTCCTCCACTCCCTCCTACCCGCCTTGCGTCGGAACACAGCCCTGGTACAGCCTTACCGCACCCCTGGTCTTCAAAGCCTCAACCTCCGAGCCTTGAGACAGCACCCAGACCTCCGCTCTGATGTGAGACAACAAACACCATGATCTTCAGCCCTCTGCTGCCTGGAAAACTGTGTGCTGCTCCCGCCAAAGGACCACAGCCCCTAACGCTCTTGAATCGTGCTCCTGGAAGCGTGGCTTTATTGCAGCATCCTTAATCCCTCTCGCCCCTGTTTGTGCTGCGTACAGGTCCTGGAAAACAAAGCTCACCTTACCTGTGGTGGTAGAGTCCAGATGCAACAGCAAAAAGAGCTCGCTCAGGGCTGGAAGGGCATTCAAGGGAAAAGCAGGAGTGCTGCTCTCCACAGCATCAGCGGGGCAAGAGCACGCTTTCAAAGCGCAAGTGCTGGGAAGCGTGATCACCCCCCCGAGAGCAGCTCTGATCTTTGCCCAGCACCGACCTGCCCACCGAGGACAGGGGCGAGACCTGGCTATTGCGGCTCACAGGACCTTTCCTACTGCACTTGGGCATCTCTCATATGAGAAGCTGTTATGGGAAGATCAAGTGGGATCAACGCCTTATTCATCCCTTGCTCCAGTGCCGACTGCTACCTGGGATGTGTTTACTGCGTGTCCTAGCAGCAGCACAGCCCTCCCTCCCCGCCCTGAGAGCACTTGCTCCCACGGGCTGGACTGGTTTCCCCAGTGGCTCCCGCAGCCTGTCGGGGCGGACTCAGGCTGTGCCACTTGGTTTCGGACCCCAAACTGGGCCAGCTAGGGAACATAACCCCCATGGTGACACGTCTGGGTGGCACAGCCCTGCACATCAGAAAACGCCTCTTTCAGAACGCCTGTGACTTCTCGGGTCTCTGGTTAAAGGCAGGAACTCCATAACATCAATAGCCAGTCACTGGAATTGCAAAGGAACAATGCAGCCGGTGATCCCAACTGACAGCAGAGCCGTGTTGTCCTACCAGGACATGCCACACCTCCCGCGGCCGCCTCCATCCTCACCACCTCTAAAGCAACCAGAGCTGTAGGTTGGGGCAGTTTCCCTGCTAATCCTCCTGGATAATCCTCAGGCATCCCAAAGTCAGGGCAGTTTCTGTGCCTGTCCAGGCTTAGCTGTCCCTCTGCTTTCTCTGGGCTGCACCCCCCCAGGGTGGCTGGTGATAGTGGCTGTGTGCTTGACGTGTGAATTGCCACAGGGAACAGCTAGCCACACTGCTACAGACCCTTCCCAACTGCTTTCTGGCTGTTTTCAGCTCGGTAACTGGTTTTCCCCTCTGGTTTGCAGGATTTAGCCTCTGAGCGGCTGAATGGCAGAGGTAATACCCACGGGAGCTGGGGGTGTGGGTGCTGTCAGGCTGGGCCTGGCGACGCAGGACCACGCTTCTCTCCGTTGCAGGTCCCAGCAGAAGACGCAAAGCTCCCACAGCGCTGGAGTCCTTCAAGTGCATCTTCATCCCCATCCTGGCAGCGGTGCTTAGCCTCATCTGCCTGGTTACAGTTGGGTTCCTGGGTACGGCTCCTACTCTCCTCTCCCCACTCCTCCGGCCGCTGCT